GAATTGAGTCTATATTTTTTGTATGAACCTTTCCAGCCATTGAAAACCTATTTTTACAGGTTTAGAGAATGCCGAGGATAATGTTCTGTAGATAAGCTCATTCCACATGTTTTTCTTCTGGCTTTGTTTACTTCAAACAATCTTGGTTCTCTTTCACAGTAACTTGAAGGGTCTTTCTCAAGCAGTTTCATTTTTGTAGGGACTACAACATTTCATTTAATATGGAGGAATAGATTTCATATCAAGAGAAGCATATTGGAGTTGGTTTTGTCTTAGTCTGTTGTCTCATGCGCTCTGGAGGGGAATCAAATGTAGCCTATGCAGAATGAACTGTGGACTGAAGTGTGGTTGTGTTTATAGTTGACTTGATGTTTCTGCAGCTGAAGCTTCTCTTTCTTCATCATTATGTCTTTTCTTCTTTTGAGGGTATGGCTTACAGAAAACTATCTTTTAGATTTTCATTGAACTTTATTCAGTTAGAAACTTTAGTGCAACACATCTGTCTGGAAAGAAGAGTTTTGGTTCAAGTGGCTTCATCATAATTTGGATAATTGGGTTATTGGTATTCATTTTAAGATGCAGACAATTTAGATTTCATAGATTTTTAATGCTGGGACCCCTTTCAGGCCAAGCCCTTTATGGTAGGTGCTGATTCTCCATGGCAGCCCCCAGTCACACTGCGAAACCCTCAGGTGCCCCCTCCAATGCTGTGGTGTTGCAGGATTTCAATTCTTCCTCCTCTGCACGGAGCTTTTGGAGACTGCTCATGTGGAAGACTCCTCCCTCTGATCAGCAAGACCCTCCCTGTTGCAACAGTTGTGACTTCTTAGCTTCCCTGCTCCTGCTGACACTCACCCTCCTCAGCAGAGATCCATCCTGCCAGGCACTGCATAGCATGAGGAGGGGAGATGAGGTTGATGAAGTCACAGGCTGAACTGTGGAGCCAATGGGATGGGAAGGGATTGGAGAGAGAGCTGAGGAAGAGGGCAAAGCTGCTGACCCGGGTTCAAGTCTCACCTCCATGAAAACAATAGTTCTTTGGAACTGAAAAATGGCACAGTTAGCAAGAATACTGAAAAGGGATTGGAAACATGGAGCAGAACATCTTGAACCACATTTAAGTGAAATTTATGGCTCTGAAATGCAGTCTAATTTCTTCCATGACATCTTACGATATATTGTAAGGATAAATGAGGCCTTAAAAATCAAAAGAGACCACACGAGGAGCATCAGTGAACTGCACAGTAAGAAATCCCAAAGAGAGGAGAGAATAGGTAGAGAAGAAGAAAATAAGTTTTTTGAATGGATTTGTTTTTTAATGAAAGGGGAATTTCTAAGAACATTGCACAACTTAAGATGTCAGATTGGAAAAGATGTTGAACCTACCTCAGAACAGATATAAGGTATTTCTTTTTCAAATCTTAAAAACCTATCTTGTAACTAAATGGCAGATTTTGCCTGGGTGGAATTTGAATTGGCTGAAAATTTTAATCTTGAACTTTGCCATTTTCTCTTCTTTAACAACTCGACCCAGCTCTCTCCTTATGAAAAACCCAGCCATGTTCCAAGCACAAAGCCCAAGTCGCTAAAGTCATCAGGTTGACCTCATTCTTTGGGGACATGCGTGGTCCTCTAATAAATGGATGCATATATTACCTACCACATCATAGAAAATCAGTGGTTATTTGTAGGTCTGCAGTGAGAATTGGGCACTTATTGTTTCAAAGACTGACTCGCAGGAAATAGATAAGGGTCCAGGAGGTGGAGCAGTTGGGTTGCTATGACAATGGCCCTTCTTCTTATAGACAAGAGACAGAGTTTTGAGAACATAAACTAAACTTGTGGGCATACATTATACTTGGTGTTCATACCTTAAGTAAATTCAGATAAATTTTAGGTTTACATTTCATTTAATGATAGTGACTCTTTTAGTTCATAGTTTGTTAGTCTATTTTGTTTGTTACTCTTTTTTATAAATAAGCAAATGTAAAAACCATCTCATGGAAAAGGACATAGTAGCATTTGAGACAACCAATAGGAGCCCCTTGTCCACTCAGGGAGTCTGCAGGGGCCATGCCGAAGCCACAGCTGGAATGCAACTGGGACAGGGGCTGGCACCTGAGACAAGCATCCTTCCTGTTCTGAGAACTGACTAAACTTAAAATCACAAATATCCCTTCTCTGTGTCACATATCTGCTCATATAAATTGACATTATTTCATTGAATGATTGAACAATTGAGTGAATGACTCTCAACTGACGTGTTTGAGAAGAAAGCTTGTCTACTAGATTAAGCTGACCAGCAGTATCTCCCTCCAAAACATAGAGATGGTCACTGTGGCTTTTCCTAACAGGTAAACAGGTGACTTTTCTATTTTGTAGACACATTTACTGACCTACTATGGCAGCAGATTCAGGGCTGGGCAGTAAGGAGAGGTACTCAGGAAGGAGGGGAAAGGTGCTGCCCCCAGGGCTATCAGGAGTCAGGAAATGGACCTTCTTGGGGGTGGGCAGCCAAGGTCTTGGCCCTTCCAGGACTTCTCTGTGATTCCCCCCACCCCCTGGGAAGATCTCTGCAGGTGGGTGAGGCCCCTTATCCAAGGATCAGCATCTCCTCAGCAGATTATATTGTTAGACTATGGCTCACTGTGGGTCTGCAGAAATTATTGGTTGATGCCAAGCACAGTGGCACATGCCTGTAATCCCAGTAATTCTGGAGGCTGAGACAGGAGGATCCCAAGTTTGAGGCTGGCCTCAGCAACTTAGTGAGGCCATGTCTCAAAATAAAAGGGCTTGGCATGTAGCTCAGTGGTAAAAGGTCTCTGGGTTAAATCCCCAGTACAAAAAAACAAAAAAGAAAAAAAGAAGAAGAAGACACTGTGAGCTGAACTAGTATCTCAATTAAGCTTGCCAAATATCTAAGACTAATGACTTCTGGTGTTTTGTCTTAAAAACTGGGGCTGGGGTTGTGGTTCAGTGGTAGAGTGCACATGTGAGGCATTGGGTTTAATCCTTAGCACCATATAAAAATAAATAAATAAAATAAAGGTATTGTGTCCACCTATAACTTTATTTAAAAAAAAACAAAAAAACTATAGTAGTGTTATAACAGAGTACCCCAAACCAGGTGGCTTAAACAACAGTAATGCATTGTCTCAGAATCCTGGAGGCCAGGAGTCTGAGGTCCAGGCATCAGCGGGCTGGAGATGTGGGGGAAGGTCTCCCTCAGGCCCTCTCCTGGTCCTGGAAGTCCTTGACTCACCTTTCTATGGTGTTGTCCCTGTGTGTGGGTCTGTTCATTCCCGTGCATCTCCCTGTGTGTGTGTCTACAAATTCTCCTTTTTGTAAGGACATCCATTTGCTAGATTAAAGCCCACCTTACTCCAGTGTGTCACACCTTAACAGATTACATCTGCAATAGCCCTATTTCCAATTACGGTCTGGCTCCAAAGTATGGATTCAGAGGGGTACACGATTCAACGCCTAACAAAGATCAGAGCATGTGGCATGAAACTATGATGTGATCCAATGTCCAAGAGCAGCATTATTGTGCAGACACAGGCTCTGGCTGTATTCAGGTGAACTGGGTCCTCACAGCCTCTACACAACAGGAGGAAGTCATGCCACCTGAGTAAATGAATGAATGAGTGGGAAAAGCTTATGTGTGGGCCCCCAGCCTGGGCCCTGGAGGACTGCAGGTGTCTGTCCAGCTTCCAAAAACTACACCCAGCACTCCCATCTCTCGCTCATCCTCGTGCGACACCTGGTTACAGCATCATCACCTCCCTGTCTTCAGGACCAAGCACCTGCTCAGTGAAAGTGCTGCACTTAGCAGTTTCCCACGTGGGGCAGTGAGGCTGGGGGTGGAATGGCATCCTCAGGTCCACTCTGGGTTTGCTCTTGCTCCTCAGCTGCTTCTTCCTGAGGAGCCTCATGGCCTCCCAGTTCAAAAGATGACTCTGCACTTGGTAGTGACCTCAGAGCCCAAGTGACAGGCAGGTACCTGTCTGATGCCTACTGTGAGATGCAAAAAACTTGAAGTGCATTCCTCCTTTTATACCACAGTGGCCCTGGGGTACAATGTGACCTTTAGGCCCAGGTTCAGAGTTCCTCTTTGCTTATGACCCATAAAATCAGAGGTGCATCCTCTGACTTGCTTGGGGACTTACCCAGATCCATATTTTCCTGTCTGAATGGCCTTGAAGAGTGAGTGGGCCCCATAGAAAAATAGTGAAGTCATTGAGACTGTCTAGAATATGAAGTCCTTGTTTTTAAGGTTTTACTGTTTTCTTTTTACACATCATACCTGAATCCCGGCACACATAGCAAAACAATGAGTTCAGTAACAGGGTAAACGGAGAAAAGAAGAGCTTCCGTAAAATCAGGAAAACTACATGTGCAAGGGCCTCTGTAGGCATCTCCTTGTGAAAAACAACATCCATTTAAATAGAATGAAATGAGGTTCCTTAAGCCTTAGTCCTCTCGTCTGCACAAAGGATAATGACAACTGCCTCATTGGGTCACTTTGGGACTACACTCAATTAGAAATCTGAGAACACCTAACAGAGAGACAGACACAGGCAAACCGCCCCTCCCCTTCCCTCTGTGTACATTGTAAGGTCTTTGCTCTGGCCCCTGCCCCCATTGCAGAATGCCCTGTTCAGAGATGTCACAGAGCTGTCTGAAAGTGAGGATTTCTTGTTTGAGATAAAAGCCTGAAGTTTCCACAAGTTATTACAGAGAACAGACCAAGCATATTTTCTTGCTGGGTGGACTCGGGGAAAATTGAGCTCTAAATACCCAGGATTTATGGAATTTGTTGCTAACATTAAAGAGATTTACATATCTGTTATACTCCTGCAGGTTTAATCTGATCCCTACAAAACTCTCAGAATACATCATTTTTCAAGGACAACTTGATTATTTGGGTGAAAATTGGACCTTTATTTGTAGAAGCCTTTAGACTTCTGATGCCAATTGATGTCACTCCTTCTCTGCAGTTCCCTCAGCAGCTCCGGAAAACGTGTCCGCCCAGGCCGTCAGCTCCACCCAGATTTTACTGACATGGGCATCTGTCCCTGAGCAGGACCAGAATGGGCTTATACTAGGTTACAAGGTATGTGTCATGGTGACCTTGCTCTCCTCGTGGAGCTGCTGTGAGGTTGCTACCAAACAGACTCCGATTTTCTCACAGATCCTCAGACATTTCCCCTTTCCTGATTTTCCCATTAGCTGTCCTCTGCGCTCATTGCAGTCTGGGAATGAAGCATAAGTGCTTTTGGAATGCCTAGCAGGTGAAGAAGGAGCTGGAAGTCCAGGAGCTCAGGCGCTGGCTCTGCACAGCACCAGCTGAGGTGCCTTGACAGCTTCTTCACTCCACACCTGTTTCCTCACTTGTAAAATGGGAATGATACTGGCAGCTTCCCAGAGGTGGTGTGAGAAGCAAGGGACTGTTTTATGAAGTGCTCCTGACTTGCTAAGTGCAGATAGACGTGTGTGTTGTTTGTGAATATTGTAAAGGCCCAGGACGGTCCTAGGCAGTGCCACCTGCCTCTGAGACTTGGACCTGTCCCAGCTTCTCTGGGTTCTGTCTTCCATGCATCTACCTGGACCACTGAAAACCTACTTCCTGTTCACCACTGGAGGGTGATGAAAACCGTCTCCTGATTCTGCTCCTCAGCTCAGCTCTTCCAAGCAGCGGGATGAGGGTCTCTGGATTTGGCCAGCAAGGCCACACTTCTTTCTCTGCTGCTCCACAGATTATGAGCGGTCTCCTTTTTGCCTTTCCGTAATTTAGACACCTGTTCTTTGTTTTCCCCCAGCTGTTATCATGTCACCCCTCTTCCCTGGGTATTTTAATTGCTTCCTTCTGGCCCCATGATACATGGCAGTGCCATGACATATGACCAAGCCATGATATATGCTAGTCCTAGGTTCAGGTGACCACAACAGCACACCACATTCCTGGATCCCAGACAAGAATGATTTCCATGCTCTTTTCAGACTCTTCCCTGGAGAGCTTGCCTTTTATGACCTCTGAGTCACTGATCTCTGGGAAGAGTTTGGAGAGAGGGGATGAGCATGGAGGGAAGACATAGGAACTCTGTAGGAGAAGGAGGGCCCTGGAGGAGCGCATCTCAGGATGGCTTTGATATGGCTCAGGGCTCAGGTTCTTGTGGGGAACAGAGAGTCTACTGGGGCAGGAACCAGTTTCCATGGAGCTATTGGCTCCTTTTGCAGGATGCAGAAAGCCCGTGTTCATAATTGAGTCCTTGTTTTAGTGGGTACGGCTGGCATGGCTGCAGCTGAGTGCTTCAGATCTTGACAGTTGTGGCCAGGCAGCCAACCCGCCAAGCTGTGGGCTGAGCGTTAGCTCAAGCGCCCCTTCTGGTATTCAGTCACTTCATCATCATCTTCCTCCCCAATGCTGGAGTATAGAACCTGAGTCCACACTCCTCACACAGCTGCACCCAGTTGGCTGGTCCCAGCCTTATGGTTACAAGCCTGCCCTGTGCCCACAGAGACCCTTCCCAACACAGCATGATCACAACTGTCCGCACTTGTATGTTGATGCTTCAGATTCTGTACCGAGCCAAAGACTTGGATCCTGAGCCCAGAAGTCACACCGTGCGGGGGAACCACACACGGTCGGCGCTGCTGGCCGGCCTGCGCAAGTTCGTGCTGTACGAGCTCCAGGTGCTGGCGTTCACCCGCATCGGGAACGGGGTCCCCAGCATGCCTCTCATCCTCGAGCGTACCAAGGATGATGGTATGTACAAGGCTGGCACTCTCGCTGGCCTCACCGCCTCCCTGGGTTGCTTTCCCAATCCAAACAATTTGGATTGTGAGTGTTTTTAACATAATTTTCCAACCACTTTTTTTTCTCAGTTGAGGGAAACAAAACAAAATTGTTTTTCAGTCACTGAGCATTTATATGGCCAATTTCAGCCTGGAGTGGATTTTTACAGCCTGATTATGAAGCTATGCAGAATTTCAGTCATAACTCTGCCTTGGGCAGTGCTGGCGAGGGGTGGGCCCGGCTGTAAAATGTGAGCTGCTCATCTTGATGGTGCCTATACAAAGCTAGTTACAAATCCACTCTGGGCCAGTGGGTCCCAATGCTTAGGGGACTGCCCAGGTCTCACCATTTGTGTAATGAGACATAATTATAAGTTCCCATGTAGAGAGCGGTACATTTGATGGCTCCCAGGGTCCCCAGACCCCTGTGTTTCCAGACTGAGTAACAAGCATATCTTGCTGATTTTGTTTTTATAGAAGTCTGAATCATCAGTAAATATGTTTTTCCACTTTGCAGATGTCAAACACTTAAAGGTTAGCTCCCTTGCATTTTCATTTTTAAAGAGACTGTAATGAAAGTGTCAGGGGAAAATATTACCCATCTCCCCCAAAACACTCACCCTGGAATCAGAGGCATCTGACAGAATGGAAACAAGTGCAGCTTTTCTTAAGCATCTCACCAAGGTGACTAATGAGCCCCAAATGCACTCTACCTGCAGAGTGGAAACTGTCCCTCCCTTGTTCTCAGAGGGACTAGAGCAAGGCTTGGCCTCTGCAGAGAACCGAGCACTGCATCCAGGTCCTCATCCTTCCCCAGCCCAGAGGCTCAGGTGGAGGGGACCCAGCAGGGAAATGGGAAGTGGACGTGGTTTCACTGCAGGCTGTATGAAGCGAGGCTCCGATGAAGTCCCAGGGGCATTTTAGAGACTCCTCAACTCCCGGTCTTTTGCCATCTGCTCTTCCTAAAGGACACATTGGCTAGTCTTGGAATGATGTTTTCTCTTCTTTCTCAGTCCTAATAGAAACACGTCTTTCCTCCCTCTCATTTCAACATAATCCAAATGTTCAGCTTGGAGGAGGCCAATGTCACAGTTGCCCTCCTAGCTCGCATATTTGTGAATTAGTCTGAGTCTGTGAGCTCATGGTCTCCTTCGGACATTTATTTGCCCAAATATAAGTGTCATAAGACCCATTCAAAATTTTAAATACTGATCCTAGTTTAGTAGCTCAAGGCAGAATTCAGCTGTCCACAGTGGCTGTTGTGGGCCTCCTCGTTCTGTTTCTGTATTGATTGTCACGTGCCCATGGCCTCTTACCCGGAATCAATCCATGATTAAGTCCAACAAGAATTTCCCATCCTGGCCACACACTAACTTGTCTATTCATTTAAGCAAATAAATTTTATGAGGGTTATGACCCTATTATTCAGTGGTTCCACAATACACAACTGCTTTTTGAATTATCAGTGCACTGAACCACAGAAATTTATTATATGCATTTGGGCACATCAACTCTTAATTTTCTAGGACAAGGCAGGAGAGGGGTGGCATGCATAAGAGATAAAGCATTGATTGCCAACATGTTGCTTCATCAATAGTTTAACCTCCACTTAGAGTTGGAAGGGATTTGAGTATGCCTTGTCTCACACCCACTCTCAAACCCAGTAAAGGAGTCTGAGCTCAGATTAGTATCATCTTCTTCCAACTGGCTGCACACTCTGCAGAATTATTATTAGTGGCCAGGGGACTAGTTCTGCAGTATACTAGCTGCATTTGCACCACTCCCTGAGTAGTTTATGAGCACTGCTTTCGAAACTTGGAAAACTTGGAAAGCAGATGGGTAGAATTAAAAATGAGGTGTTTTTCCAAAATTGTTAGGGAGCCACACAAAGCCATGTAGATTCCAAAAGTGATTCATCAAAAGCTTCAGCATGTTCCACCATGAGCAGTGTCCCAGAAGTAGTGCACAACTGGCCTCAGATCCTGTGTGCATCCACATCCTGTGTTTCTCCCAGCTCCAGGCCCTCCTGTGAGGCTGGTATTCCCCGAGGTGAGGCTCACGGCAGTGCGGATCGTGTGGCAACCCCCAGAGGAACCCAATGGCGTGATTCTGGGTAAGGAGCGGCGGGAAAGAGTGAAATGACAACTAGATTACTTTCTCCTATTTTTATTAGATAGTTACAAGGGTAAAGACAAACCCCTTCAGGAGCAATGTAGAATTTTCTGAACTGAGATGATCATGGACCCTTGACTGTCTCCTGAGCTTATGCACTAAAGGTTTTTTGTGGAATGAATTTACATTTTGTTAGCCCAGAATTTCTTCCATTTGCTCAGGATTCACAACAGTGCCATTTGTAATTCATCCTGCGTCCACTCTGGGTTGTTGGCCGTGTTTTGGAAATGAGTGGCTACTTTTTCACAGACCATGTGGACCTGGGCCTCCAGCCCCAGCTCCAGGACACAGCTCCTCTGCATTGAGGCTGAAAGCCACTGAGATCAAGTGCAGGCCTCAGGTCCCAGGGAATTTGTTCATATTTAATTTTTCATTCAGGGAAGCAACATTGATGAAAGGCCTTAATTTTTCCTAACTTCCCAAAGGCAGCAAATTATATTTTTAACTATTTACCCTTTATTTACCCTTCTCACTGAGACAAACTAAGGACTCTAGTACCAAACATTGCATGCATAGGGGGAAGCAGGCATGAATAAAACCTGCCCATCCTCCAGATGCCCATGTCCCATCAGGGAGATAATACAAGTGACAGTACCACACAGTAAGTGACCTGAGAAGATGAAATAATAAATATAATATTAAAACCAGCTCACACAGAACAAAGGTTTCTCCAGATTCTGGAGGCTGGGAGTTCCAAGCTGGAGGGGCCACCTCTGGTGAGGCCCTTCTTGCTCCTGGGGACTCTGCAGAGTCCTGACCCTGCCCAGGGCATTGCATAATGATGGGGACACTTGTGAATGTGCACCTAACTGGCTTTTATGACAACCTCACTCTGCAGTGGAGCCATTAACCCATGAATCCAGGACTCCCTGAACAGATTTGCCCATTGATGACAGCATACCCTCGTCCCTTCTTGAAGGTCCCACCTGCTTCCACCCCTTAATACCTCACAATGGGGATGAAATTTCCACTTGGGTTTTTGTGGGAAAAACTTTCACATTCTCTTCAGACCCTCCCATCCTCTGCCTAGGAGTCCCACCACCTCCCTCGTGTGCATGGCTCTCTAGTAGGCACCTCTCCCTCACCCCCCCAGCACCTTGCTCTCCTGGCACAGCCCAAGTCTCGCCGTCCAGATGGGACTCTTGGCTCACTTGCAAGTCTTGTCATTTACTTTTCAGAGTGTCTTTAACATTTGTTTTTCTGATTATAAAAGTACTATTAAATGAAAGGCAGCAATTCACAATTCACATGTATCAGACTCCAAACCTGAAGTCTGATGACACCAGACACGAGGATGTGGAGGAGTAGGACCTCTCGGGTTAGGACTGCACCACCCTCTGAGGGCAAGTGGCCACACCTGGAAGGTGTGTGCCCCTCCCACTGTCGCAGAGGTCTCCACTTCTCCACAGCACTCCTGAAAGCAATCCCTGCACCTGGGCACAGGGCTACTTGTTGCAGATTGGTTGAAGTAATAAGAAAAGGGAGTAGCCACAATGTGCCACATATGGCAGGCGTCTAGGGCTGCCTGCCTGTGTTCCCCTTTTGTGGCTGTATGGCAGTTAGCGTCTCAGCTGTGTTCTCTTGCCCGGTGACCTGTGGTCTCTTTGATGCTGCAACTTTAAATGGCCCACACAGGTCTTGCAAACTTAGGAGGCCCTGACCTCAACAGGCTCTGAGCCAAGGTTCTGGCCTGTTTCTTACCTGGAGGACCCCCTTCCCTGGGGAGCTCTGCTCCTCTTGGAAGACTTATGGCAGATGTCCCCTGTATTTTAAGTGCTGGTTTACTGACAGGCATGATGGGAAAGGCGATGAGTTTTCCTACCTGGAAGCCATGCTGAAGTGCAGACCTCAGCCTACAATTTACTGTTTGAGTGAACTTATGCAAGTTGTTTGGCATTCCTATGCCTCAGTTTCCCCATTCCTAGGAGATGAGTGACATTTGGGCCTCGTCATTACATCTGATGAGTTGCACATAGAGAACTCAGAACAATGCTTGCCACGTAGTCAGTGTTTGTCATATTTACGGTTTGAATGCTCCTAGCTCAAGGCCCCCTGTGCCCAGGGCTGGCTGGCAGCTCTCCGTGTCATGCTAGGCTTGGCCTGTGCAGGTATTTACTTTGTTGACACCAATGACATGTTTCATTGCCTTGTTTTCTATCTGGTTGCTGGAGCTAGGGGTTCATGCTAAGGGAAAAAAGAAAGCCTAGGAAAGCAATTTGGGTCACAGAATGTCCCTGATGTGTGCTGGGAAGTTTTGATTTTGATTCGGAATCTCTGGGAAGTCACTGAAAATCACAAAGTCCAAGTAAGAAGAGGACCCCAACTGTGAAAAGAGAGGTGCTAAATCAGGTAGCACTGGGTCCACCTGTACTGCAGAAGGCACCCCATTTGAGCGTCCCTTGCTGTAATGGCATTTGGCTGCAACGGATGTTGTCTGGGTTACACCTCACCTGTGTGTTCCTACAGCCAGTGCACCAAATTATAGATGCTGTCGGCAAGATGGCAAAACAATTCCCAGAGATTCCGGCTGGGGGTCATGGGGGAGGAAGGAATCTGTCTCTTTGCATGACTCACTTTATGTCCAGAAAACGAATCAATGCCTCCACTCTGGCAGCGCAGCCTTCCGAGTGTGTAAACACCTCTGCAGCTCCCACTTTTGTAATCTATATCAAAACATGTTCTTGCATTTCCAAAAGAGATTAACAGCAGGAAACACCAGCAAGCACCTGGAGGGAAAAACACTTGCTTATTTGAGTAAATATTTTACTATGGAGAGTTTTTAGCATTTTGGACCATCCTTGGGGGGATGTGCAGAGCTTCCTGAGTATAACCATCCCTCCTCACTTGCCAGACATGGACTCTTTAATGCTCTTAAGCTAGAGGAAATGCACATGCCCTTCAGATCCCTGAGCCCACCCTACCCAACACTCCAGATTCTGCCTCTGCCTCCATGCCCATCAGAAGGCCTCCTGCCCACCCAGGGCCTAACAATTACCTTGAGCTTTTTACCAAGGGTGCACAAGAACTCTGCTGAGAATTAGGAACCCATTTGAATATGATCCATGTTTGCAGACTCCTCCTTTGGACTCCCTGAGGCATTTGTGTGCCCCGAGCCTCAAGTGGGCAAACGGGAAGACCAACAGCCAACGGGCATCTGCTAGGCCCATGAGCTGCCTACGGCCATTTGGCCACTTGTAGCTTCTCTGCCCTCTTCCTGGAGGTTGGTGGGGGTGTCTCTGCCTCCCAGTGCTACTAAGGTCAGCAGCACTGTGCCCTGCTGGTGGCCTTGCTCTGCGGACCTGAGCATTAGGGTGACTCAAACTGATGCCTTTTCTTTGCTGAGTGACAGCACAACCCATGAAATACTTGCAGTACCCCAGATGTCTGGATGGAGCCCCGAATGGTCGTGCAGCTCCCTGGCAGCAGGCTTCAAGGAACTGAGGCCCATGGGGCTTGCAGTCTGTGGCCTTATCTTCCTGGAGTCTCCTCTCTGTGTCTCTCGTTCTAGAACACATCTCACACTCACACTCACCTCTTTTTCTAGGTGCACAGTGCCCCCTCTGTCTTCCAGGTGGATTCAGAAACCCTCACAAGCTGCTTGCTGGGTGTTTTAATCTTCATTTTGGATCGATGCTCCTCGTGCTTGGCCTTGCTTCTTTTGAATACCTGTATTATCATAATACACCCATAACCTTAACAACAGGCTTCTCTCAGGCCGCACTTGGCCCTCCTATTGATTCAGTGTATTCATTCTTTCCTAACGCACACCGCGGCCTTCTGACCTTGCCTTGCTGAAATTCAGTGTGCTAATGTTTCTGATCTGGCTCTGGCCATAATTACATAACCAACCTCTTCCACGTAAACGCTCTTATCTCTAATACCATCTATCATTTTCTCTAAAAATGCTAGGACTATTACACGACTGCCTTTTTTTTTTTTTTTTTTTGCCACATACGCCCAGGAAAAACCCTTCTATTGTTCAGCGAGTGAGCCTTTTAAACGTGTCAGGGTAAGATATAAGTATTAATCTTTATGTTTAACAGACCATGATGTGGGAACTAAAAATGATAACATCTTTATTTAAGAGGATATAATAGGAAAGTGCAAATATAACCAGAGGCTGAGGAATCTCCTCCCAGTGGCTCAGTGTGGGACCTGGATCAGCGAGAGAAAATAATAACCCAGATTTGCTGCAATTAGGAACAAATGACATTGTGTTTGCAATTTACATGCATTACCTACTGAGTCTTTACAGACACTGTACCAGTTAGATGTCATCCTCTCTGTGCTCCAGCACCAGAAACTAGAAATTTCTGAAGAGACAAGGGTGGCAAAGACCCCCTTCCTACCCAGCTGTTGGCAACATGTGATGAAGGCCCATTCAAGGCAACACAGACACCTTTCTATAATCCTAGAGGGTTGGTCTGGGACCCCACAGATACTAAACTCCATCAATTCTCAAGTCCCCACTGTAAACTGGCGGGTGTAGTCCTTCTGTGTACTTTAAATCACCTCCAGATGACTTATAATACCTAATTCCGCATGAATGCTTTGCAAATCGTGATTAGACTGCATTATTTAGGAGATAATGACAAAGGGAAAAGTCTGCACATGTTTAATACAGATGGAATTATTTTCTGAATGTTTTTGATCCTCAGCTGGTTGAATCTAAGAACGTGCATCCACAGATACAGAGGGTTGACTATATTAAACAGTCATTAAAACTCCCATTTCTGAAGGGAAAAGCATGCCTTTGATGTTTTACAGAAATCTCAGAATGAAAAAGCCGTATTTAGAGTAAAACTTCAGTTGTTTTCAAAAATTCATGGAAAAATGATCATCCAAAAAAGAAAAAAAAATTTCAAGTAAGTAGTAGAAGTAAGTAGTAGTTGTGTCTGAGTGTAAGGTGACCTTATTGTAGATCCATGTCCGACAGCCCCA